GGGTTGGACCGGGATGAAGTCCTCGATTGCCTTAAAGAAGGGTTGCAACAGTATACGCCACAACATGAGACACCTCCGAGTGCAACAAAAGAAGAAGTATTCCAAGCAGTTGTTGAAGCGCTGAAGCACTTCGAGCTACCACAAGTAGACATACCTGCTGGGCTTTCCCGAGATGATGTCTTCGAGGCTGTTAGAGAGTGCCTCGAGGACTTCGAATTCCCGATTGCCCCTTCGACCAATGATCTAACCCGTGACGACATTCTAGACGCTGTCAAGGAAGGTCTGAGCTCGAATCAGAGCACAGCCCTTGTACCTCATGGCGGGGAAAGCCCCGATATCATGGAACGCCTCCACGACATCATGCAATACATGCGGGATGAATTCAAAGCTGTGTCGGAGGAAGCGAAGCAGAACGTCGCTGCAAATGGAAGAGATACCGAACAGCTCTTGGATGCTACCAGAGATGGTCTTGATCAATTACGAACTCATATAGAAGGCTATGTCGACAAAGCTATTGGCGCTTCTAATCAGGAGGAACTTATGGCAAATCTCGAGACCGGGTTCGAACAGCTGCGTGAACACATGGAAGAATATGTCGACAAAGCTTCCGGTGTTTCTGATCACGAAGAACTTATGGCCAATATCGCAAATGGCATGGAACAGCTGCGTACACAAATGGGGAGCAACACCGATAAAGCCTCGAGTGTTCCCAGCGTTCCCGGCCATGAGGAGCTCCTATCAGCGCTTACTAGCAACTTTGAGCAACTACGAACGCACATGGAAGGCTATGTTGATAAGGCATCCGGTGCTTCAAATCAAGAGGAGCTCATGACGAATGTTGTCAGCAGCTTCGATATATTCCGAGAGGAGGTGGCCGAGCTTGTTGCGAAGGTTTCGGATGGCTCTAGGGACTTGATTAAACAGGAAATTGAGTCGCTTCGGGATACCGTCAACTCATCTCTTGTCCCTCATGTCCCACAAATGAGCGACAACAGGGACGTGATGGAGGCCATTCGAGATAGTATCGAAAGAATACGTGGAGAACTCCTTCGCCCTCACGCTGGAACTACTGATATCCTTGATGCTTTACACGAAGGGTTTAGCGACCTACGAATATGCATCGAGAAGATGAGCGACAAGCCGGCAGACCTAACTGCCAATGACGAAATTCTTGACGCTCTTAGATCAGGTCTAGATGGTGTTCGGACGAATATCGACTCCCTTCGCGATAACAGCCAAGAAAAGGCCATTACCACTGTAGGCGCTATCCCAAGCGATGCCCTCATTCCTGCCGATCTTGCCAAACACGACGACATAAAAAATCTCGAAGTTATGATGACGCAGCTCAGGATCAAGATGGAATCTTTGGAAGCACCCCCACCCCCGCCAGCGCCAGAGGGGTTATCAAAAGATGACCTGGCAGAGCTAGAAGAAATGCTTAAGAACGGCGTATCCAAAGAGGATTTAAATGAAATAGAAGAATTGCTTCGAAGTATGCAAGAATCGATGACCAGCATGTCGAGTGTTAGGGACATTGGAAAAGGCGCTGCAATAGATATCGAGAAAGAACGGGAACCACCACTTAACCTTGACGATGCCGCTACAAAAGAAGATGCGCATGCGATCGAAACAATTCTTCGAAACACCAAGGCTCGTCTAGATGACCTAATCGATGGAGATCAAGTAGTTAAGAAAGATCAGGTCGATACGCTGGAGGCTCTCGTGCTCGAGACGAAGGATTCCTTAGCAACTGTGGCTGGCCAACTAGATGCAGTTTCTAAAAAGGAGGATCTACTTTCAATTGAAACTCTCGCAGCCCAGATAAATGCTGCGCTAGATGAGATGAAAGAGCGTGCTGAGAAGTCCCTCCAGGATCCTGAGAAGGTCACCAAGACCCACGTTGCTGCGGTTGTGGCGACCCTTCTTGAACTCAAATCGACTGTCGACGAGATGATCCAGCCCGGTATTGCAGCGCTTCCCTCGAAAGACGACATCAAGAACCTTGAAGATACCATCAAAGAGTCCAACACAAAAGCCTTGGAACAGCAACAAGCAGAGACTGCCGGCGTTGGCGAACGAGTCTCTGAAGTCAAGGCCTTTTTAGAAGAGTTCCAGGGATTGGTCAAGGAGAGACTGCAGGCCGGTGGGAATGCTATTGAGTCTCTGGGTAAGATCCTTGAGGGTCTCAGCGAAACGGTACACAAGAATGCCGACGTCGGTAGTAACCTAAAGGAGATGTTCGACTTAGTAAAGTCCGAATTTGAAGAATCGAAGAACAGTATGGTAGGTGCCAAGCTGGACACCGATGAGAAGTTCAAGGAAACTACCCAAGTTCTGGGAAGCAAATTCGACGAGAAGATTGGCGAACTTGTGATGAGATATGATGAATTTCAGCTCGTCATGGAAGATCGGACAAAGGCTTCAGAATCAAGAGATGGCGAGATGAAGGCCGCTATGGTCAATACAAATACCGTCACGGAAGAACTCAAGGTTCTAATTGATACCCTGGGCTCAACTGTTACCGGTTCTCTCGAGAAAATGGAAGAGGCATCAAAAACAGTCTTTGACAAAGTCGAGACACTCTACGGCAAAACTGAAGACAACCACACCGAAGGTAAGGCGGAGCACCAAATAACTCGAGATCATATCCAGCAAGCCATCAGTGCTGTCGAAGGCCTCCAAGGTCATGTAGGTGATTATCAGCCAAAGATTCTCGATTCGATCAAGGAAGTACTCCTCACTATCGGACAACATTATGAGCATTCTAAGAATTCGGAGACTAGCATCCTACAAAAGATCGAAGATGCCAAGCCCGAGAAATATGATGATAGCGTAGTACAGTCGAAGCTTGCCAAGTTAGACAGCGACATACATTCTATGCGAGAAAATCTGGACAACGAGATGCACACCAAGTTGGATAAGCTGGTCGACCATACGCAGACTGCCGATAAAGCGTATGCCCAGCTCGATACTCTCGATAAAGTACATCAGCAGGTTGTTAAGACAGCTGCTGACATCTCAGAGTTTCTTTCGTCGCAAAAGCAGCGTGTCGAAGACGAGAATGAAGAGCGTGCAAAGACACTTCAAGTAACGACTATGCAATTAGAGCGGCAGAGAGCTGAGCAGGACCAGGTCGAAACCAACTTAGCATACCTACGAGACGAAGAGGCCCAGCTCCGTGAATCAATCCTTGCCCTAAGGACGGAGCAAGACTCCCTAGTCCGTCAAAAGACTCGATTGACAGCGGATGTTTCTTCCCTCGAGACTGCTCTGCATCTTCGCCGCGAGGAACTTCAAATAATGGATGCTCGGGCTGAAGGTCTGGAGCGCAGGATACTCGAGGGTGTTTTAGACCATTCTCGTGCCCTACTTATGACGAAATCCGGGTTTAAAGGCCGCGAGGCTATGAGCCGCAAGCGTGTCCCCGGTGCTCGTTCAAGTTTAGAGCCTAACGATGACTCAAACTCCAACCCAAAGCAGTCCACGCCTCGTTCAGCAGTCAACATAGCAGTCAATGGTGGTAGAGCAAGCCTTGTCCCGCAGAACTCGACAAGCACTGGCCGCCGAATTCTGAGCCTCGGCCAAATCACTAACAACGTCCCTCATGGTGGCATTAAGCGTAGCCAGAGCGTTCGTACCCCGGCTGGTGCGGCGTTACGGAAGAGTAGCTGGGCGCCAGGGAAACATGGAACTGGTAAAGGCTACGGCGACCTGAGTGTAAATAAGGAGAACGTCGATGCAGTGCGCGAGAGTGACGAGGAAGCACGTGAGGATTCGCCTCCGTCTGAGCCAGAACCCGAAACACCAACACCCATGGAAGACGAAACTGTAGTCATTGCCGCCGACGAGGACACTCCTGTAGACGACGACGACGAGGATGCTACAGAAATGCCACTGTGGGTTGAAGAAGGCGATATAGATGAAGTAAATGAGACAGGGAGCGAGGCTGGAAGAACCGTCGTCACAGACGCGGAAGCGGAGGGTGGGTACAATAGTGAAGACCAAGAAGGGTCTCAAAGTGAGTGGACCGAAACTGCCTTAGGCCCGGACAGCGTCTCATTGGAAAGTATAGATGACGCCGACAGCATCACGGGCGAAGGCGGTATTGTCATGTGCAGCACATGATGAATCTACCGGACTAGCGTAGCAGTGCGCCGCGCTCAAGCTTTGGAAGCCTTTGGGGACAGGAGTCTGAATTGGTCGGAGTACGACGGGGGGATGGGGTTCATCTGCTTCATCATGTTTTTGGTTGTGTCATGTCTGTTCCTTGGTTCGTCATATTTGTTGATGAAGACGAGATGAGAGTTTTATGCTTATGGGGGATGAGTGTATGCCTTTGGTAATGCTTGCCTGTCTTTGCCGTATATCGAGGGCCTCGCAGGCGGGAGGGGACGGTGTAAGGAGGAGGAAATGAGGATAGGAAAGGGAGAAGAGGGGGGAGGGAAGATTGGAAAATGAAATTTCGGTTTCCCCTTTCCTTAATAATACCTTTGTCGTTTACTTGCGGGTTTTGCGTTAACGTTATTTTTATTTTTTTTATTTTTTTATTTTTGCTTGGGAAGAGAAACTGTGTTTTAGTCTTAGGTGCGTCTACGAAACTTCAAGTTTTTAGTGTAGTTCAGGTCAAGTACTTCAATGAAAATCGAGGCGTAGGATAGACGCTACTTCGTTCATATGGGGCAGCGGGGTCTGCTTGACTGACTCGGTATACTAATTAACTACCTGCTTTAGGTAGATACCCTATCTATTGGTCATCACGAGTAGTAATAGCGGTGGTAGTTGTGTGTTATACGAACGAGGAGGAGGAGCGAATGTAATGGGAAATTGTATAGTGTAGTGTTACATATATCCATGATATTGATGAGACATTTATACGCAAACCACTCCTAACAAGTGATTTTTGTCTTTGCCCCTATCCCGTAAATAAAAGACGTAAGTTGAGATATGTATAATAATAATAATAATAATAATAATAATCATAATAATAATAATAATAATAATAATAATCATAATAATAATAATAATAATAATAATATCTACGCCGCGCTCGTGTCCTGCTATTTACTGCCCGATCGCGTATAAGGGATAATTGGTAGAGATACTATAGATATATAGATACTAGGTAGATAATAGTACAGAAAGCGTAACCTAGTCCGTTTACCCCTTTTAACGTTCGAATTTCTAGGACTATCCACAAAGTTAAAGACTATGTACTGTACTGCAAGTAAGGTTGTTTCGTCGGAAAAGCCTATCGACTCGGCGTCCACATGGAAATAGAAATATACTTTTCCTAGTAGCCCTCTCCCTTTTTAGGTACGGCGATGTTTCCACCCAATCTTCTCTCTTCCATCCATCCACGGCCGAAGACATTCGGGAATATCAACTGTCATCTCAGTCTCGTCCCATCCGTTCTCCAGCAGCGCGGCTAGGACGCGGGGGACAGCAAGCGCAGTGCCGTTGACGGTCCAGGGATATGTCAATTTGCCACCGGCACCTGCCGCGCCGCGCAGTCGCGTAGCCAATCGGCGGGCTTGATAATCGGTGCAAATGCTAGCACTTGTGACCTCGCCCCAGCCGTCGCGGTCCGGGCCGCGGCGGCTCGGGAAGAAAGCCTCAATGTCGCACTTGCGGGTGGCAGACGCGCCGAGGTCAGTCGATGGCATCTCGAGCACACGGCACGACAGGCCTAGCCCCTGAAGGATCTCAGTTTGTAGGTCGAGCATCTCGTCGAAGACCTCGGCGGTGGCATCCGCATCGGGAGGCGTCCACGCGAACATCTCCACCTTGGTGAACTCGTGCACGCGGTACAGACCCTTGGTGTCGACGCCGCGGGCGCCCGCCTCTGCGCGGTAGCATCGCGACACACCGATATATTTTATAGGCAGGTCAGTCTCTTCCAAGAGTGTGTCGGCTTTCATGCCGGCGAGTGGGATCTCGGCGGTACCTGCGAGACAGAGTTCAGGCTTTCCGCGCTCGGCATCGGCGGTGGATTGGGCTAAGGTGTAAATCTGCTGCTCGCCGTTCTGGTCGCGCGGCTGGAACCCACAGGCTGCGGCAATGTGGCCGTATACGATGCTTGGCGGGGCGACCTGGTGCCAGCCAGAGCCTTGCTTGGTCACAACAGCAAGCGCGTAGCTGATAAGTGCCTGTTCTAACTGAGCGCCTTCATCTATTAAGTAGTACCACCCCCAGCCGGATGTCGTCGCGGCGCCGGTAAAATCAAGTAGGCCTAATTCGGACCCGATGTGCACATGGGATCGCCATAAGCGATCCGACGAGGGGAGTACTTGCTCTGGCTGCTCATTAATGTAACTGAGAACGCGGGGCTCGTCTCCACGGGGCGTTTCCGGGCTAGTTAAGTTAGGAATGGCGAGTGCGAGCTCTGTCATTTGCGCCTCGAGACGGGCTTCATCCTCTTCAATAGACGATAGCTTGTCCTTAATAGTTCGGGCCTCTTCGATAAGTTGTTCTCTTGACAAGGTTTTGACGTCCCCTCCTGTGGTGGTAGCAGTCGGCTTTGTCTTTCCCGATCCGGACTCAGTCTCATCGTCCTCATGCTGTATAGTAGTAGGATTTGCGATTTGTCGACGCAAGGCATTGCCCCTCTCGCGCATGCTACGGCCATCCCTCTGCCGGGTTTGCCATTGCGCAAATAGGTCAATGATGCGGGAGGGATATGCGCTTTGGGTCTTGTAATTTCTTTCAAGACATGTCTGTTCGTACAGGGCCGGGTTCTGCCGGATATGTTTGATATCGATGTTAGCCTTAGGGGCCGTCGGAGGTCGGGACAAGATGGGTATGTCGTCGGAACCGGGATTTATACTAGCAGGGTTGGTGCTAGATTTATATCTCAAGGTAGAACTAGAGAATAGACGTGCCGTCGTAGAACCTCGTAGGAGGCGCTGTCTTCTCTGGGGTCTAACTAGCCGGCATTGGAGGCATTGGAGGCATACAAATGGTGCTCTCGGTGCCTTGATCATGGCCTTGATCATGGCTACGGAGTTGCACAATAGTTATTTTGTCGCATTGAGCAATATATCCGTCTGAAAGTTAAATGTTGAAGTGGGAAAGTTGAAGTCTCGTTCGATTCGCGACATCAATCTTTTTTTTGGAGTAGCTTTAGCTCCCCGCATTTTGCAGGGGTAGCTCCTGCTCTCCACATCCTTTACTCCGTCGTGATACCTAGGTATCCATGGATAAGGTATAGTACTTAGGTACTTAGACATGTATAAGTCAATATAAGTCTACCTACATATGTACATAATGCACTTAAGGGTAGCATCTACATGGAGATCTAGTTGCATCAAAACTCAGGAACAAACCCAATTAAGCTCCAGCATGTTTGACAACCTTCATCAGCGTTCCATGGTTAAACTTGGTTCAAATAGCTCCCCATATTCCCAGAGTCCAACCGCCGGTAGCCTGTGAGGCTTGGCCTCTAACCAATCCCCCAGCACCCATGCTCTGCCTCTGTTGCGCCTTAACGTCCACTTCGTTAGGTCGACATGCACCATTGACGCCCTGTTGAAGCCAATATTCGCGCTCGACTGTCGCTAAAGCCGGCACCTTGAGCTGCGCTGCTAAGCTTGCTCCGCACCAAGCACCTAGGGAGTCTATTACCCGAAGCGTGCCTTGTACAGCCGGCTTGTAGTTTCTCTCCTTTTTGATAACATCCTCCACATGATCGACGTCAGGGGGCGCATATGCTGGACTGATAGGTGGTATTGTTTCTGCTTCTTCCGTACCGCTACCACTTTCGGTCAGAACTACCGCGGGAGTAGGACCTTCACCAGACTGTCGACTACTGCTCCGCCGTAGATTTGGGTTTGCTTTATATTGGTCGTATGCCTTTCCTCTAACCGGATCCCAGCCTCTCTCCTTGGCCAGAAGCGATACTTCGTCAAAAATGCGTCCCTTAAGTCCGATAATATTGGAACAGCCACCCGTGAATATGATGCGCGCCATGCAAACTGCGCGAACATCCAACGGCAGCTGCAACAGAGCTCGGTAAGCTAATAGAGGCACGGGAAGCTCATGGTCATCAAAGGAAGAAGGTGAAAGGTTAGGTTCGAAAAAGACTGCCTCGCAAGGTTCGGCCAGCTCCGCAAACGGAATTTCCACCGTCTTTGGAGGCTTACAAGAGGTGAGTTCCACTGCAATAGGCACGCGGTCGTCAGCCGGGGCTACTGTTTCGGACTCGTCCTGCTCGTGAAGGGTTGGGAGACCCTCGGTGGTATCCTGTGATAACTGATTTGCGGCCCTTTTACACCATAGCATGCGTGTTGCAAACTCCTCGCATTCCTCAAAGCTTACAACGTTGTCTTCCAATTTATGCTCGGTACGCTCGGCGCGTGCCGTAGCTAGTCGTCCTCGAATAACATTGGTTAGAAACTGGTACGTTTCCTCCACCAAGAGCTTGCCGGCTCTGATAGTCCTCCAAGTATACACCTCTCTAAACTCGTAAACAGCAGTGACAGTCGTCTCATGCCAGCCAAGGTTGATGACTAGGGCTGATCGAGTACCTGCGGCCATGGCGGACATGACAGGCGACGAAAGAAGGGATATGGATGGGATCTGAAAGCGAGTAAAGATGGTATCGAAAACCGAAGATATTAGTGGTATAGGTAGCGTGGGTGGCAAAACTAGACTTATTCTCCTTGGGCGGGAATCAATAAGTAGAAATCTACGAAGAACACATGTTAACTAAAGCCAGCCAAATAAATAGCCAAATAAATAGGAGCATTGAAGAGAATTAACCCACTTGGTGAAAGCCTCCCTAAGCTCACGTTCGAGCTTATCCCCGACAAGACCCAGATCTTTCCCTCTCAAATCCAACTGCCATAACTCGTAATCCGATCCCCAAGGCTTCCCGGCAGCCCTATAGCGCCAGTCGTCCTGATAACCAGCTTCCCAAGCCCTAAAGTCTCCGGCACGCCTCTGCTGCTCTGGGCCAAACGACGCGATCCTCTTAGGGGCTGCATCGCCTCCAAAGCCGATACGTAATTTTCGTGAGCCTAATTCGACAACTAAAACCTCATCGTCGGCGCGCAAGGTAGAGGGCGACCCGAAGGCGGAGGGAACAACGGAAGCTCGTGGAGGGGTATGAGGCGTATGAGGCGTAGCTGGAAGTGCCTGAGTTGATGTGCGGTCGCCGGCACGTATGCTAGACACAGCCCGATGGGGGAGACTGGGGCCTGCGCTGGACGACATTTCCATGTACGTATGTTTACTCTCTATACATGTTGAGAATTAGAATTGGCGGCGTGGGTTTAGATATTCGTGCATTTGTTTCGGTTAAGTCTTGACAAGTTGTTGGAGATGCAGCTGCAACGCTTTATTCTTAGGCACAGGTTTATCGAATGGAAATAATGGAAATACATAATCGCTAAGCTAATATGCATACCTAGGTACATATGTACTATTCATATAAAGGTAGAGCTAGCTAGGGGTCCATGCGTCTAGCTCCAATTTTAAGTGCAAATATCCTTGCATGTGCATCGTTGCCAGTGGATACCAACAGCGTCAAAGTCAATATTTAAGTTTTTGGTATTCCGTATTGTACATATTACATCACCCAAACCGCCAAATTGATTCCACTTTTACGCAGGCTACAACTTGCAGTCTTTCCATTTGTTAATCAAATTTCCCCTTAACGGTACAAACTTGCAATTCATGGCTAGATAACTCGAGACATCGATTCGAACGGTAGGATTTCGCCATGGGGATTAAAGGGTTGGTATTAAATATTATTCATGAGCACGAGCATTACACTGATAACGAAATAAAATAGCATATATAAAGAAATTGGCACCGGCAAGCGAATATCGCTTACGAAGCTTGCCGTCGAGAAGCTCGAAGAGACTGGTCGCCCCTTGCGCATAGCTATAGATATCGCTATATGGCAATTCCAAGTCCAAGCAGGCCGAGGTATGACGATTCTCTATTAACAGGTAACTTCTATCACAACTACCAGTATTCTAACGACATTCAGGTGGTTCTAACCCAGCTGTTCGAACGCTATTTTACCGGCTGCTTCGTCTGCTTAGCTTATCTATACAACCCATCTTCGTTTTCGATGGCCCTAGAAAGCCCGTATTCAAGCGAAACAAGCGCTCTGGTCGAGGTGATGGCGTCGCCACAGCTATGGCTAAGCGAATGATCAGACTGTTCGGGTTTCAGGTCCACGATGCTCCTGGAGAAGCAGAAGCCGAGTGTGCACTATTACAGCAAACTGGCATTGTCGATGCCGTACTCAGCGAGGATGTCGACACCATCATGTTCGGCTGCACGCGGACACTAAGGAATTGGTCGTCTGAAGGTACGAGAGGAAGCAAAACGCCTACTCACGTCTCTATGTACGACACCCAAGGGTTGTTAGAAAGCGGCGCCGGCCTAGATCGGGAAGGGATGGTCCTGGTTGCACTCATGAGCGGCGGTGACTACCTCCCGGAAGGAATTCCCGGCGCCGGTATCAAAGTGGCTTGCGAAGCTGCCCGAGCAGGATTCGGCAAGGCTTTGTGTAGACTGAAAAAGTCAGATACGTCTGAAATATCTAGCTGGAAAGAGTGGCTGGCCTACGAGTTACAGCACAACGAGAGCGGATTTTTTAAGACGAGACACAAAGCTTTATCCATACCCGAGGATTTTCCAAATATCGACGTTCTCAGATACTATACTCACCCGGTAGTATCCCCCGCTTCGACTCTCGAACGATTAAGGCAACAACAGTGGGATCAACCGGTTGACGTCCAAGGGCTACGAGAGTTCGTCAGAGAAACCTTTGATTGGAGTTATCGAATAGGGGCTATCAAGTTCATAAGGGTTCTAGCACCGTGCTTGCTAGTACGAAAGCTGATAACACGGAGTACTCGCGGTGATCTTGAGTCCGATTCCATTGAAGTTCTAGAGAAACAGGAGTCGGAACTAGTAAGGTCAATCACAAGTAAACGTGCTCACTTCAGTACGGATTCAACGCCAGAATTACGTATATCTTTCGTGCCAACAAAAATAGTCGGCTATGATTTCCAAGAAGAACCGGATGAGGTCATCGACTATGGACGAGATGGTCTAGCACTCAATAGCGATGAGGAATTCGAACCTGCAGCCGAAGATGAGGGAGCCGAAGCGGTCGGGAAGACTAGTAAGAAGCCATTTAATCCAGTCGAACCTGACCTATTCTGGTTACCAGAAACCATAGCAAAACTTGGAATACCTATTACAGTTGAGGACTGGGAAGAAGCGCAACGTGCCAAGTTGGCACCTCGTCAAAAGGCTAAGGCCCCGAAGCAAAAGAGCAAACCCGTGGGTACCACTTCTAGGGCATTAGACAAGTTCGTCAAAGTTACCAAGAATGTCCCACGAAATACAGAAGCTAGTAAAAATAATACGCCAGTATCTCCTACACCTTCTCGAGTTAGCAGTCCATTTGGTATCCCCAGGATACCTTCGCAAAACTTACCTCCCCCTGCTCCAACTAGAACCAGTCAGGCATCTCAAAAAACGCGGCCCATAAGATCCAGTAAGCAGACTAAATCCAAGTCCACAGCCAGGAATGCATCCCCAACACCAAGACCGGATGCGAGTGCCAATCCCTGGACGATTGCCAGCTCACACGTCAATCCCAAGGCTCCCAAGGCCAAGTCTATGAAAGCTTCCGAGGCCATTATTATATCCTCTAGCCCACCTACGTCGCCTGGCCCGATCCATCATTCCATAACACAGGGTCTGGATAATCGCACTACTGAAAATATCTCTCCAACGTCTCTTTCTTCAACTTTAAGTTTGGGTCCTCGAAAGCGGCGTTCTATCACGCCGACGAAGACGGATCAGATAAGCGACGGGTTGTCAAACAGTCGTTGTACAGTAGGAAGAGCCCTAAGTCCATCGCCAAAGTCGAGTGAGAAGAAACCCCATCGTAAGCTAGCCAGGACCGAATCACTACCTGTGGCGGAAAGCCCACGGCAGCCATCCGTGGGAAGTAAGAATGGAACACGTATGTTCGCGCGAGCACGTACTGTAATAGTCGAAGCCCTGCCGCTCTCAGACTCGGAAGACGAGGACGAGTTCGACCTGCCTCCACTAAGTACCATCGTCAGCAAACTCCCCCTCGGGAACAAATCATCTTCCAGGCCTAACGTACCAGAAACGCAAGTAGCTCAAGTCTCAGAGTCAAAAGGGGCAAACCAGCAGCCGGGGAAAGATAAGAACAGACAGACAACTCTAAACAACGCCTTTAGCACAACTAAAAGGACCACCAAGATATACGCACCCCGCAAGAGCGAGCCCGGATTCTTCAGAGAAGTCGAGGTCGCAGCCGATGAGGCTGATGATCTGCTCTCGAAAGTTAGGGGCGGTAATGCTGCATGGAGACGTAGTGACGTCTCGTGCATCGACCTGACGGGTGAGGATTGATTCCTATCTTACACACTTAACCTAGAAGAGGATCGTACATGTACTTGTCGAGGAAGAAGTGAAATTGCATTTCAAGCTACAGGGAGCGGTTGGTCTCGGCGGAGTTTGCATAACAGGCGCGTTTGCATTGCATTGCATACCTATACATAGCATCGAATAGAATACAAGGCGGAACGTAGATGATGATATGAAGCGTTACCTGCTCCAAGATGAATAGATCAAGATCAAGTTTTATACAGTATATTCATCCACTTCCCTTCTTCTATTCTTATCGTGAGCTACGGCGGTTTCGAAAGACAATATCTAACGCCCTCTAACTTTATACGGCGACGAGTAGTCTTGTTACCTCCTATACCCAGCTACGCACGTGCATGGTAAAAATCACGTCTCAAAGCCCGCTATAGTGAACGTATCTACGAGGAACTGGCAATGGCAATGCTCGTCTCTCGTCTCCGTCAGCGGCACCACCTTCTTCCGAGTCGGATCCCCCGGCTCCTCCTTGACGCCCATAAACCATTGACCGAAGTAAGTCCACTCCAGGCTAGGAAACGCGGCGGCCCAGGCCTCGGTCTGCTTGAGCATCCGGTTGCGATGAAGGACCTCCCACAATAAAACCCCCCTCTCGGGGCTTTTTCTATTCAAGAGACGGGTCAGACTCCCCGGGGTTTCCTCAAGATCGAGTCTAGCCAACATGTCGGACATTTCGTCCTCGGTAAACGACTGGGCGCCATAATATCTTTCGCCATTTTCGGAAGAGGAGAGAACTTCCCAGGGGTATGTATCATGGTAGAGAGCAAGCCCCTTTAACTTCTTCAGCTTGAAGAAGATATCGCGTAACTGGTCGTGATCAACCAGCCAATGACAATACGCTCCACCTTCGGTTCCCGCACCGAGGCTTAGCTCCTCAAGAGACGCGAGACACGCAATAGCCGCCAGTGAGGCTACTGGCACGGAAACGGTATACTGATCCGGTTGTGAATAGTCGCTTCCACCCCATGTCAAGGAGAGAGTCCTAAGATGCTCAAATCTTCCCGTAGAGAACAGCGGGATGACACACGCGTCAAGGTGCGCCGTTGCACCACGCGCCTGCGGGTGTTCTGATACGTATAGCTTCTTTACCGTTTCGTGCCTTGCAATAAAACCCGCCATGAATTTTGCGTATTCCTTGGATTCAGGGAGAGGATGGACGACCAACGTCTCGAGATGCCAGAAAGTACCGCAATTAGCGAGAATATCGCGAAGCTCAAAATCAGGCTGTAGATGTATTGAGAGGTGCCTAAGGGGAGCGTTGAATAACGATGGAAGTATAGAACGAGGGGGCCCCAAGTCACCAATCCTTAGCAAATGGAGATGAGGAAACGATACGGGCTTGTCGCTAGAGCTTTGCGGGATAAGCTTTCCGTTAATAGATTTATTTCTCAGAAGCCAGGTTAGGGATTCGAGAGTAGGTGCACACGATCGAAGAAGTAAATCGAAAAACCGAGCCGGCGCAAGCTCGAAGTGTGTCTCCTCTCGCGATGGTTCTCGTGGCAGAAGCTCTAAATACATAGAGATGACAAGGGAGCGTAATGGCCAAATAGACGGTATAGGAGGTTGCTCTAAAAATGTAACCATGGTTTGTCTCTCGATGGGCATTCGTCTGAGCCAGAGATGATGGGCCGGTGATTCCATTATGTGCTTAAAAAATGAAATTTCCATGGGATATGCATCATACCAAACAATAACCTCAAGGTTAGGCAGAGCAGAGCAGATAACTCTTTGAACATCGGCACGTATCAACTTGTATTGTTGGTGAGCTTGCTCTTCACGTTGTGCCGAGGTTTCCCTTCTCATGAAGCAAATTACAAAGTCTGGGTATGAAGCCGTTATGATCCTCCGCACGCAAGCCCCGATGGTTGGGCCTTGTTTACTATTATCCCTTCTAAATATACGCTCTTGGTCAAGCTTCGATAGTAACTGCTGCCCTCGGGAGTTGGCGTACTTGAAGTTGATCTCGGCAAACTGGCTCGAACGAGCCAACTGTCTGCAGTCGCTATTGACTTGAGCTAAAGAGGCCAGAGTTGACTTGTCGCCAATTAATAGATTGACTATGTCAGTTAAGATATCGGATGGTAGTTGAAGTAGTCTGCTTCGAGATACTAACGGTTGGCCTTCCATTACACGATCTAGCACCAGAGCTTGTGCCATAACTTTCTCATGGCCATGATAACCTATTTTAGGGAAGGCCTCTGTAACGGAACTAGATCTCATCGTCAACTTAGTGATGCTGTAGTGGATAATCCCGGATGTTTTATAAGTCGAGATAAAGTAAACGACGAAATCTAAACAGCTCACTTATACCTAAGGCACCAAGCTGTTGGGTACCTCAACTACAAGGCATATTTACTGTATAAATACCCAACCCATATGCATACAATTAGGTAAGCCGGAATCCCTCCGAGAGGTGAATCCTGTGACTGGAAATCATAGTCGTCATTATATTGTAGTATTTCTTAATTTATTTCATATTCCACGTGGGGAGGTATATAGATAATGTAGATAAATAAGCAAATAGATATAGGTATCGGTGGGTATCCTGCAGTGAATTTCCATAATAAAAAGATTCGACCATATATGACCCCAGTACAAACAATGCAACCCCGAGAAACTTGGGCCAGCCCTAGGGTATTAGTGACGCGGTAGGATAATTGAAGACGCCATGTACGTCCGCTAAAACCAACCTACATCTTTAGAGAATAAATCGTGGTGTAGGTTCCGCTTAGCTACAAATCCTTCATTCTAGCTCGAACGGGGTAGCTAGTTGTTTTTATCTCATTTCGGGTTGTTTCGTTTCGTCTCTGCTTGCGTTGCTTCGTATTATTCATTCCATCTTATTTCTCGTCCCCTCTGATGATGTGTACCTTGACACGCCGATTCCGAGCTATTTCAGTCCTCAACAGCCCACGGGAGATCTCTCTCCATCACCCGTACGCACGTTAGATAACTCGTCATGCTACTTGTGGCTATGGGTACGTTAGAGCTGCCACTGACACCAGCACTGCTTGGTGTAACAGTACCTCGTTCTAGCTCTAGCTCCAACCCGCTACCCATGAGCGGGCGTACGATCTCACGGGCGGCGCTCTTAAGTTCGTCAATACGCTTCTCGAACCGCCGGAGGTTGTCGCGTGAGTATAATTCGGGCGTTAACTTAAGAAAGCGTTTGCACTCGTCGTGACCTAGATAGCTGGCACCTGTCATAGAGCCCAGAGTACGATAAGTACGGCCTAAACTTGCGAGATTCGGCGCCATTGGTGCCGAGGCAATCACGGCTGTAGAGCGGGACGACGGCCCTCCATCACGGGAAGAATGCCCTCGAGTACTTGGAGGAGCCAGCGGAGCCGGTGATGTGTTATCCGCGAGCCACTGACGAAAGAAAGACACAGCAAGCCAGTCGAGATACGACGTACCAGGCGTGATGCGCTCGCCACGCGAATTGGTAAGATTGAGGCGAAAGAGGCGACCCTCGATCCTCGATACCGTCTCTTCCAGCTCGTCAACTTTGTCTTCGATAATATCGAGAACGATATCCGGAAATGACTGCCTAATACTTCGTTCCCCAGCTGGCCATTGCCCGACAACATGTATCAAGGCTTCTTGGAAGATAACCTTACTTCGGCTCAAGTACCCCAGGCGTAAATAGCTAACAGGATACTTGGCGATTTGTTTCCATAGCCTACTTTGAAATTGTAACAAGTGATGATCAACTCGCGGTCCTACAACAGCTAACGCGTCGTACTGATCCGCCAACGTAAGAAGCGATTTACACTGTACATATGCGTCGGCAATATTTATGCCGTCTAGTAGCGGTGGATAGTTATAGAAAATGCGAAAGAGATTATCGTAATCCCGAAGTAGGTCGGCGTCGGCCTGCGAGAGAGGCACATCCTGGTCTACCTTTGTCGGCACTAGGGATAGATTTGCAACCGAACGAAAGAACGAATTCGTAGAATGTGTGTGCGAATGGCTCGCTTTGCGCGTAGTAGGAGTATTCGAGGTTGCGCCACCGCCTCCAAAAAGCGAGCTTGACTGCGTGGAACCGGCGGTATTAAGAGTATTAGCTTCCTTTTGCACCAACATCGGTATATCATCCCCATCACTCCCGGGGTCCAATTCATATCGCCATCGTTTTCGTGGCACGGGAGAATTCACACGTGATCGCGCGGCCTCATTTCCACTACTGCTAGCGCTATCTTCCCCAATCCTCGTGAGCTCTCTTGATGAAGCATCTGCTGGCGGCATAAAACTTGCTTTAGACCATTCCTGGCTCGTGCTCGCTTCGAAGAATCCCGAACATCTTGTTAAGGTATGTTTATGTAGGAGATACCTGTTCTCCTTCCCGCCGGCTTTTATAAGGATCTCGACATCGCCCGAATGACTAAACACAGGGAATTCGTTTTGTGGGATATAGGAGCTTCCGCCCGTGTGCGAGCGGTTATACCGCTTACTCCGAGAAGACACATGGGGGCGGGAGGCGGTACGTGCCGAGACAACGGAAGAGGGGCCGCGGAGGGTGAGAGGCTCGGATTGTGAGATCATGAAGACTGAAGATTGCACGGTTTAGGAACGGAGGTAGCGGGGATCTCGAATCGGTGGCCTCTTCAGACTTGAGGATTTGGGGCCACTCTCCTTCCCGGCCACAGGTGGGAATAGACTCGAATGCGAATCCTGTTCCCGCAGTTTGATTGGTAGCTTAATGGGTAGCTTAATAGATCCGCGTACTTGAGATTAGATGGGAAAGGCGTAGTCGCTGTAACTTATTAAAATAGGTCGTCGTAACGTTAGAGGCCAGCTATCTTCAATTGGTGCATTAAAAAAAATCAAATAAAAATCAAAGGCCTCCTCCCTTGTCGCTCAATTAGATATCGAAAGCAGAGGTAGTAAAGTGTTGCTGCGAATTGTCCACAGCTTGAGGGAGCTAGATGGGGTAGAAAGCACGGGACAGCATGCGCGGGTCCACTATCCAAGGAACATCACGAGCAGCAGATTGCCAAGTTCAGGTTGATGATTTGACTGATGGTTGTTGATTGATAGGTGGTAAGGGCCCTGTGCGGCTGTGCAAGGATGCGCAAAGTACGTGCTTCTCACGAGTTCGCCACGGCGGTCTGGAGAATAAATAGGCAATAAATAGGCGGCCTCTATTAACGGACCATGAGCGAAAGGTTTCTAGAAAATAAGAAGAAATTTGATCGAGGTCGCGTCGCAGGTTGATATACGTACTTGGATAAACTCGATCGTATGCATATAAGCTTGTTCAGACGTCGCGCTTCCTTCTGCCGTGTCCTTGTTTATTGTATCACCCTGTCGAGGTTTGCTTTGCACGACACGGGCATGAAATTCCATTGCCTCGACACCAATGCGTGAGCCCAGAATGTGGTTTAAATCGGGAGTTAGATGCACCGCTCTTGGTTACCATCTGCCCTGATGGGTGAAGAATGGAACCCGGATGCAGCCATCAGTGGCCTATCGATAGGAGATTTAGTTAGCTTTGACCACTTAGAGCCAGTCGTTTGTTCGTCACCTCGACGACCTCGAAACCATGGCATCTTAATTCCTTGAAAGCGGAGGGGAGCTGGTCAGCCTACCTAAGCTTGCTTGGGATGAAATACGCCTTGCCAGATTTAGTAAGCTCGATTAAAACATATCGCATCCATGAATACATTTCACTACCTGTATGAAATGGCTTGAGGTAATTGTCTTCTTCGTCCTGATGATGGTTTTGATTGTAGAAAAAATAAAAAAATAAAAATAAACAAAAAGGGAGAATTAAGGTTTGAAGCAAGGGAGACGATACTTTCGGAAATTGAGAAGTCGAAGCAGTTCCTTCCACTGCTTTACGCAGGTAGGTACGTACATCGCATGCAATATAACGTGTACATAACTTTATCAGCATGTATGCGAAAACAGAGAAATCACAAGTATCCACCCTGCCATCTTACGCAAACGCTAATCGGAATCATTATGGATCCCATAGGTTGATTACGCCATACATATTGATAGGTAGCCCTTAAGTTAATATTTTAGGTACTAGCCGCATATAATCCGTACGGATTACAGTATTTGCTTATGGCCGATGACGGACCAAGTCTTCGCTAAAAACTTTCCTTCTTCATAATCCAATACGAAACGCATTAATGTTGTATTAGGCTGAAGGTTGCGAATTCAACACATGTAAAATAAATGCTCACAAATGTAACCCTCTTATTGCCCAATTTTCCCTTCCGCGATTTGCTCAGGCAGCATTTCAAGGACACGCACTGGTATAAGAACTACAACGACCCATATCAAGAGCTATATCACAAGGACATGGTTTTCTTTTGAAGTGACCGAGTCATGAAGAAATCTATTGCTATTGTACAAACTATGCATACAGGAGCTTGTTAGATGAATACTCTACGCCCCGTCAATTTTTGGTCCAAACCCCAGTTGGCTCGAATTCGTATAGGGGAAGCCGTTAAACCCGTTGATAGAAATATTAATTCGAACGCACCCAGCCCATACCTGTCAATTCCAAGTTACCTCTCGCCAAGCTACGCCGGCATTGTCCTACAACAAAAGCAATCAGTGACCTTCTCCTTTCAGCAGTTTAGCTCATGTCCATTTCAACATCAGCAGGGGCTATAGCGACTTGTGGGAATGTCGCAATCTCGACTGGTTTAGGTGATTCTGTAGCAACTATGGCCTCTGGTCCTTCGAAAGTTGGCGGCGACGTCTTTAGATTGACGAATGCTTGGTTTAAGTTCTTGCTGACGAGCTGACCCTGTCGCAGAGTTTCGGAGAATAGGAAGAAACCTTCCGTTGCCTCGACGAAATACGATTGAAGCCCTTTGCTTTCTAGCTGAATTCGAACATTTGTGACGGGAAAATGGTTTTCGATATATCTCGCCCACCCGCGAGCGGCAGCTTGAATGTGCTCGCTCCCGCTAAGACGGCTCCACCCAATCCCGAGATGGAGTGTAAAATTGTCGATGATGGGCTGGCTGCTGGTATCGGCTGATAGACTAGGTGTGGCTGTTGCAGCATCGACGTCGCGAACTGGGCTGGAACGACTAGTCTGCGGCTCACTACCGGGAATCGCGATGGCGTTCATGTCTAAACGCTGCGATTTGCTGCTTCTTAGAGATGGCCGTGTCTGCTGGTTGAGGACACGAGCTTCTTCGTTCTTACGGATGTTATCCGTATTCACTTTTTCTTCGACCCAGGTACCAGATTGATTACCTGCTTCAGCCACGTACGACGAAGGCGACTTGATGAGCATCATACCTTCGCCGTATATCCAGCCATCCTCTGGCTCTTTGACGGGCTCGATGGTCTCAAGCTTAGCCTCTTCAACATCGAGATTGACGCCAGCCTCGTCTCTAGATCGCTTACGACCTGCTGTTGAAGGGGCTGCGATTGAAGGCTGGGCCCAAGGTGAAGAAGCAGCGAATGCCTTAGCCCGGCTGAAAGGAGAGGTGTGATGCGAGAAGGAAGACATGCCGAACGCGCCTTGATGAGCAGCACTTGGTGACATAGTAAGAACTGGTGAGGAAGTACGTCCGAAAGAAGCCATTTTGGACTCTGTTAGCACTAGATGTTAGGTGAGATACGCAAAAGAAACAAGTTAGATTTATGTTTATGATTTCAGTTTGACAGTTTGAATCTGATCGTGTCGCGTGTCGAAAGGAGCGCGAGCTGATTTGCAGAGGGCCGAGGCGGTTGTATCGAGGAGGAAATGGGGGCTCTGAGATGATATACGACTCGACAATACGTGGTCTGATAATTATTGACGGCCTAGAGGGATCGGTATGCAGGTGGCCGTCGGCACGGTGAGGGTGGAAGGCTAGGAGGAAGTAGGTAGATGGGTGAAAGTATCTCGGTGTATGAGGGTATGCTACGAGATAAGAAGCTTTATGAGGATGTCTATGTATGTAATATAGTAGTGAGAGGTGTTAGAGATGAGGATGATATGTAGAAGATAAGGACAGGAAAGATGGATGAGGATGAGGATGAGGATGGCTGGGTGGTGGAAGATTCTTGTAAGAAATAAGGAAGAGAGAGAAAAGGAACCTTAGGTACATGTAGGGAAGGGAAGTTGTATGTACATGTAGTAATAGTAGCAGCTTGCATGCGCATGGGATGAGATGGGGGAAAGACAAGGTAACAAGGATTGCTTGTGTTATTAGTGCACACTGCCCGGAGAGTTAGGACGGAAATCGGTTACACGGTATTGTAGGTAGCGTAGCAATGTAGGCAGGTAGGCAGGTGGACGAGGAAACGGAAAGAGAGGTATGTAGGCTCCATAAGAGAACCTTTAGTATGAGGGTGTGGCCGCGGAAGCGTTAGAAAGAAGGTACAGAACAGAAGAAGGGCAAAACGGCACAGATTGGATTATCCTATTGGCTATCGAAGAGAAAAGTACGGTATGTACCTATAGCAGGGAAAAGACGCTGCATGGATACATCCATAGATAAGTGTGGAGCCCGATTAGTGAGGTGCAGCAACGGCTGCAGGTCAGTGCTTAGGGTGTAGGTACGTCAATTTTTAAAAGGGTGCTCAGACCACTGTGATGTCGAGACCGTAAGAGAAGGATCGGACTGTCGGGGATGCAAGAGCAATTCGGTAAGGCCATGGCTAGGGGTCTTCTGAAAGAGCTTATCTTGTTTATGATTGGCCAAAGGTTGCTAGGTACGGTTTGATGCTGGTACGAAGCCTTAGCTTCTTGGCATCTGGGGCCGAAAAGTTCCCACAGCAACCTGATTTTGATTGGTTTAAAACAAATCCCCATCAGCCCCATTTCAAGTCTCGGTTAAGGGACTGAGGGACAGAATTCTCCCACCGGTTATGTCCGTAGACCCCACATAAAACAATGATGTTGATCGCGATTTGCTGCATCGCATATCGTTGAATGCCAAGCCCTCAATGCTAAGAGATGCCTTACGTTAGGTAACAAGAGTGCAGGAAAAACTAATTAGCCGACACTAATCCCATCTCCACCAAGAGATAGAAAGATGGGCACTACCTTGTAAGAAGGATACCTTGTAAGAAGGATGGGGATGGGAGAAGAAAAAGGAATCGGCCGGGGATGCAGGTCTACCGTGCGTTTGTTTCTCCTCTTCTTTGCAGATTAGAAAACATCATTGACGATGCTATTCATATCCGGTCCCCCCCCAACTATTTGGATTCCCGTCTCAACTGTTTGCGTCATTCCTTTGTTGCATCTATGCATTAGGAGGTTAGGAGGTTAGGAGGTACTCATCCATACCTTTTATCAGACATTTTTGGAACTTGAGAGAATAGGGCCGGTAATAAGATGAATGCATTATTCTGCAATAACTCTACAGGTTCAACTTTGTCTAAATATACGACAAAGCAAGTCTCTGGTCGCCCTCATGCATCACCTGCATAGAAATTAAAACAGGTTTGATGATGATGATATGCTTGATAACCTGTTGTTTCTTCGTGTGTACCTAACCATCTCGCCGAGTGTACGAAGTAGTAAAGCTTTGTTGGCTGAGTATGCTCACGAGTCGTTGACCCTTTAGGACGTATGATCTTCATCTAAAAAATGCCCGTTTGTTCATCTTATCAATCTTATTCACCCTCTACTGGGCCTTCTTCCTGGAATATCGATGCCTCATAGAACAGCGTTGAGTCCTCGGTATTCTCTCGGCCGCTGTAAAGACCTCGGAATCCGGGTGTCTCCAGACCGGATGGACTGCTGGTGGTATCCCCCATTCCCCTCACAGTGTTGGACCTGTATGCCGATCGAGAGGCTGCCCGTGGAACAGGCGCAGTGTACGCTCCGTGGAGACGACTTTGGTGGCGCGTTTCTGGGAGATTGAGTGGTGTCTGCGGCTGCGACGATGCTGGAAGAGAGTCGTTGTAGATAATAAATCCAAGTTCCGCCCCGCTTGTTGGTTCTAGCTCATCCCTCCGCCCCGGAGAACCAGACTCGGAGCTACTAGCGTGCGGCGATGGCGATGGCGACGGAGAGCCGCGCCCTAGAGAACGGACGATAGACTCTCCGAATCTAACCGCTGAACTGACAAGCCGTCTCCTACCTCTAAGGGACTGAGATGGTAAGATTAGTCAGTGCCTTTACGACCACGTATTTTACTCACTAGAGAACCCGACCGAACGTCAGTATGCGCCATCCGAAGAGACGATCGTCTAGGGGGCGTTTCTGGTGGTTCTTGGCTGGAGCTGTTGCGGTGAGGCTTCACCTGCATGCTGCTAGAGTTCTATCAACCGAGACCAGTTAGCTCTGCTAATGTCTTCGAATAATAGAAAGGGCTCACCGAGGGTAGTGATTGCGCGTCTGATACGGATCGTTTTTCTTTGGAGAATGGCGGAGGCAGCGTCGTTGGCAAGTTTCCCCAACCCACAGGATGCGACAAGTTCGAGGAGCTTGGGGTACCACTTTGCGAGGAAGATCTTTGCGAGGAAGATGGTATACCCTGAGAGCTACTTTCAACAGAGTCACCGCCGGGCTTTGGTGGTCGGGGCGGACATGATAGAAGTTTAGGGCTTTCTTTAACGCTTGTGGTAGATGACCTTTTGGAGATAAGTTCCGGGGTTGGCTGGTTTAAAACGTTATATTCCGTCTCGCTGCTCTTAGCTACAGGAATCGTTTTCTTGGTACGTATAGGTAAATTACCCAGAGTATCTTCTTTAGCAAGATACTTCTTAAATCGAAGATGACGTTCAAACTCCTTAACCTCTGCTATGGTTAAGGAGAGTGTGGTTGGTGTTAGGCGTAACATATTATCAGAGGATCATCATCACCATTATCAACCGGAGAATGGTTGGGATATTGCCAAGTTGCGTGTGATAATGAATTGGAACTAGTTCTGCCTCAATATAATTACTTCGTGTGGTTCTTATAATTGCCATAACTATTATAGTTGCCATGGCTGATATCCGAGACAAGAAGCTACGAGTTAAGCACCTAATATGTATTATCGTTATACATGCGCTTTACATGTATGTTGGTATAAGTGGTCTTTCTTTAGTTGGGTAACTACCTGTAGTGAAGAAACAACTACATAGAAAAGTAATTCGAATAAAGTAACAACTCAACGTATACCGCATTTATATGTTACAGGTATAATTAGTAGCTCGTCGATTGTAAATAGTTATAGGTAACTAGAACGCGCGAATAGCTTGCCACTGAACTAATTCATATGCGTTAGTTAGATTAAGGTATCTAAGAGCAGTTATACCAATCATTCTATAAGACGTGTATAGTAACTATGTGCTAAGAAAAAAAAATATGGCCAATAATCAATCTTTGTCAATGGCTACAAGGACTGGGGGTTTTCCATCGTACCTAACCTCAACTGTAATAATTGTTTACTTTAATACTGTGGCACTACCTAATCAAGTAAAAATAGAAGCTGTCAGATTAGGTAGGCCTTGCGGGCACGAAGGCGTAGAAAAATGTCAAGTACTCCCAATCGTATTAAATGAAGGTTTAGGTTCATTCGTACATGTCTAACCGTTAATAACTTGAATTAACGAGTGAATATGTTTGATTTCCGATTCCTAGGTATGAGGTGGCAGCTTTATGTAAAGGAATATGTATTGAAGGTACCTACGTACAATCAGTAAAATACATAACTTAACCTGCACAGATAACATGGAAGTTACCTGAAAACCTGCTAGGTGAGTTGCACCTTGTACGGTCTACGGTCTGTCAGTCTGTACGCTGTACGGTGTACCTCTAATGAAGATTACGAAGTGCCGCTAATGACATCGCCCAGGGAAAGGTCCAATCCTCTGTTAGCAGAGACTAACGGTTCCCACACTTCCCCCCTCAGCATACGTGTACTTAGTATTGTAGCAAGGTACCTTAGTCAGTAGAGTTCCACTAAGCTAGCAGGTAGCAGGTACGTACGGTACCTAACGGATCCGTATATACAAGTCCTTAGTCTTTAGTCCCTGGACCTTGGACCTTGGACCTTGGACCTCCAGTTTGCTGCTCGACCTGCCACCTTTTTATGAAATTAGTATCGACCAATCTGCCAATCTGCCAATCTATCCGAACTACCTGACTACCTGACTACCTGACTACCTGACTACCTGACTACCTGCGTACCATCTGCGCGTTAGTATGCTCATCGCCCGTTCTTGTTTGGGCCCTTGTCCATGTGTCCATGCATGGCAACAATTGGATTGAGATTTGAATGTTCTGGTCGTGTTCTACCCACGCTGCCCACGCTGCCCACGCTGCCACGCTGCCACGCTGCTAAGCTGCTAAGCTGCTACGGCTACATTGCCGCGTTGAAAATTACACGCGGAACAGCAGAACGTACGTGCAGCAAGTAATTACAGACATCAGTCTAATTTCTCTACACCTATCCTACCCTATCCTAACCTATCCTACCCTATCGTATCCTACCTATCGTATCCTATCCTATCCTATCCTATCCTTTCCACCTCCATTTCCCTCTTAACCCCTTACCCTGCCGACTGGATATTTTCCGTCCCGACTTGACATGACCTAATATTTACGCCTTTAGAGGTGAGGCCGAGTCCCCTAAAGAACGCCGCATTCGAGGTAGCACATCTGCCACTGCCGGCGGTCGGGTTTTATTAGAGGCTCGAGCAGGTGTTGCTAAATCTGAACTTCCCTTCCTTAGTGGTCAGTAGAACGAACTCCCAAAGAGAACAAACCTATACCCTAGGGACCACCGATGGTCTCATCTGTCGACCTTCTATCGATACGGACCGGCAGATTATTCGCCTGCCGTCCTACTTTGATATCTGTCGTTTGATCATCCACCCAAAAATCAACCAGACTCACCCCTAACAGCCTATCATCGACATTTAGCTAATTTCTCCATTGTCATTCCGGATTGCGGGAACAATGAATAACGATCTTAGCCTCTCGAGGGCTCTGGGTGGCCTACGCATTGCAAACCCAGACGATGCCACACCGGGCCCGTCTCAAGAAGCCGACGAAGACGTCAATGTGCCCATATCAAACCAAATCACTCCCGATACCCGCCCCTCCGAGTCCGACTCCTATACAGGACAGAGTAGACCTCAGACGGCAGAGATGTCAACGGCTATCTCCGGTATGACAGTTGATGCTCAGGCCCAAGCATCTGCATATGCACAGAATGGAGCGTCACCATACGCGAACCCCTCTCCTTCCCGGCCTCCATCTGGATTATATAGTACTGCAACGGCAGCGGAACGGGATCAAGCTGCAAACTCTTACCATATCCTGAGAACAGAACCGTCCAGGACGCCCGTGTATCCGGGTAAGATTGACTCGAGAACGCCTTCGGAGTATGCGCCAAGTATCCCTTCCCGCGAACCGAGTTACCGGGAGCGACCATATAATCAGAACCGCCAGCTCCAAGCTGTAGCTGGGGGTGGTCCTTTACCTCCTAGGAGGAGTTCGAAAGGCATGGGTGGTGGTTATGCTTCAATCCCCGGTGTCCCTACTGTTCCCGAACCTCGTGGTCTTGGGTTAGATATGCAGGTGTCCAATAGCAGCGAGGAGTGGAAAGATAGGGGAGCCGCCGTTTCGATACGGAAAGAAGTAGACTCCAACGGAAAAACTATCATGAGGCCAGTTAAGAAGGGCGTGCGAGACTTTGCCTTCGGCCGCGTTTTAGGGGAGGGTTCATATAGCACAGTATATTTCGCTACGGATCGACAGACTCTTAAAGAGTATGCTATAAAGGTTCTCGAGAAGAAGCACATCATCAAGGAAAGAAAGATAAAATACGTCAACATCGAAAAGGATACCCTCAACCGTCTCACCGAACATCCTGGTATCGTACGACTCTACTACACCTTCCAAGATGAAAATTCCTTGTATTACGTTTTGGATCTCTGCAATGGTGGTGAGCTCTTAGGTGTGTTGAAAAAGACAGGCACATTCGATGTAGAGTGTACGAGGTTCTTTGGGGCCCAGATCCTAGATGCCATCGAATATATGCACTCGCGTGGCGTCATCCACAGGGATTTGAAGCCCGAGAATGTTCTCCTTGACGACCAACTACATGTCAAAATCACCGATTTTGGGACAGCTAGGCTATTGACCGATCCGAGAGCACCGCAGGCTCCTCCTAGAATCGAAGATATGGGGACCAGCTCTAGGAGTAAAGATGAGGTTGACGATAACCGTGCAGCATCCTTCGTGGGTACGGCCGAATATGTCAGCCCCGAACTACTCACCAACAAAAATGCGTGCAAGGCGAGTGATTTATGGGCGTTTGGCTGCATTATCTATCAATTACTAGCTGGTCGACCACCGTTCAAAGCTGGGTCAGAATATTTGACATTCCAAAAGATCGTCAACCTCGACTATGAATTTCCTGTAGGCTTTCCTCCTGCTGCGAGGGATCTGATTGAGCGTTGTTTAGTTCTAGATCCAGCAAGGCGCCTTACGATCGAACACATCAAAAACCACGAATTCTTCGAAGGTCAGCAGTTCGGTAAGGTCTTGTGGAAGACAAAGGCACCGCGACTGCGACCGTACGTTCCGCCGTCTCAGGAGCCTAAGATAATCCAGCTTAATGGATCGCCCTCTGGCCAGCAGCCTTCATCCCGACCCCCTACGACGGGGAACGGCCTCAACGGCCCTTCTCGCGCGCCGGGGAGGATTATCACCGACATTCCGCCACCATCGCAACTTGATATTGAGTGGTCACCTGTGTTGACGAGGACGAATGAGAGGATTTTGCGACTTGGCGACCTTATGGTCATGTCGTCGCCAATTCCGAACAGTCCACATAACAAAAGCGATGAGGGTCATAGGAAATTCTCTCGGTTCTTTGGTGGTAGCACAACGAAGAAGAGGCAACGGCTAGTCATGATCACTTCTAGTGGGAGGATTGTCCTGGCCCCGGCTGGAGGGGAAGAGAAAAAGACGAAATTAGAGATCTCGCTTTTGACGCCGGACTGCTCGTGGAAGAGCCAGGTGGACGCAAAGGGGCAGACTGTGTGGTGTGTTGATTCGGTGAGTTTCCATGTTCCGATTTGTATATGTTTGTACTTACAAGTGCTAGGCTGGCATTCACTATACCTTTGAAGATGTCAAGCCACCTGCTTCACTCGAAGCGCCTCGTCCCACCGCGGACGATTGGCTTGAGAGTTTACAGCAAGCCAGAGACATTGCGATATCCTCTAACCGTAGCCGTTCGTATACTAGCGACAACGCGTTCGGGGAGATGTCGTCGTCGATGTCCAGCCCAGCGAGTACTTTCGGTCCAGAAGGCTACAACATCAATGATAGGTCTCATCGCAATCACCTGAGCAAGAGCCAGGCAAGCCTGGAGGATGCAGCGAATGCGAAACGTAATCGATTCAGCAAGCGGCAATCCAAACAGGGATTAGGCTCGGCTTTCTAGCAATAGCTGTACATTTGTAGCTTGGAAATACTTTTCACGCTTGGCATTCGGGCATTGCGCGAACTCGGCTAAGTATCCGTTAGGGCCTACCTAGTTTTCCCTTTCCTGGAGGCATTTCTCTTCTTTCATATGCGGCATGTTCTAGCGAGGCGTAGGCTTTGGTAGCTTTTGGTGATATTTGAAGGGGTGCACATCATGACACAATACATGCATTCTGGGAGTTTCCCTGTCACCGGCCCGTGCCTCTTGTTGAGGTATGCGCTCGGTATCTCATTTTAGATGGATTAGAAGGATTACATTACGCATGACCATACCTCACATTCCCTAATATAATATTCCAACATAAAATTCCTTTCGGGGCCCTAGATTAGGGAGGGGGAGAAAAAGCCAAAGAATGTCGAGCCCGGGGTTGCTGTTTGGTTGTTAAGGGCGGGGAAGAGTGCTCGCATAGCCGTGTTGAGGGTCTGGAACTGGAAAGGTAGGTAGATATCTGAGAAATAGGGGTCTGTATGGACCCAATGCTTCAGGAGTCTAAAAGGACGTGACTGAATCAATGGAACTGGCAAAAGCAAGTTAGACATTCCCCGGCGTGATTAATGGTTGATATGTTACATAACTAGGCGGTTCTCATAGGTTCGAACTTGCGTCGACGCATATATTATAGGTTGTGGTAGCGAGGTTGAGGTTGAGGTCGTAATGATTTCGTCAGTTGGATTCACAGGAAATAATATTGTGAAGGATACCGGTTGCCCCCTATCATCTCCCAAGACGCGAGCGAGCTACGAAGGCTGCCAAGTAACCCCATGGCCAATGGTGACTTGGTTGATAACCTACCTAATATGTATATATCCAGTCGTAAGATACATGTAATCAATGCGAATCAATGCACGGACTGCGTATATGTACATACGTAAGTACATGTATTTATGTAGGTAGGTAGATACCTTAGGTACCTAGGTACATGTACATCATGTGTATGTAGGTAGAAACTTGGAAGCTACTAGCCACATCAGCCACTTGTAGCTCACGTATCTAAACCGAGTCTCACTCAAAAGCCAAATCATTTTTTTCCCCTTTGAAGTTTGAACCCGCTGTAAGCCAAGCCGGTCATACTCCATACTGACTCCCAAACTATGTAGAAAGTACATAAATTCTCCAATCATTCAAACAGACCGCGACGAGACACGCGCCTTTTCCAACGACTATCCAAATCTCCGACCCAGATAACTCGGGCCATCTCCCCCATACAGCCATACAGCCATACCGCCATACAGCCAAACTGCCTATTCCCAATCGCGATCGAGACTGGTGTCGCACGCTTAAACGGTGGAGCTACAAAACTTTAGTTCCAATCAGTCCGTCAGTCTAAGGCATTAAAATCAAAGTAAAGCAGAATAGAAGGCATAACAAGGCCCTTGAATCGGGGCCAAAATAGTCAAGATGCAGACCGGCTACCGCCCTTACCCGCAGCAACAGGTGCCGCCGCAGCAGCAGCAGCAGCAGCAACAGCGTACCCCCCATTCGGCCGGACAGCGACGAGGAGGCATTGGTATGTAACTTGATTAGCAAAACCATCTACTTTTTTATGAGTTATATATATATATATATCCGTTTTAATGCTTCTGTGGTCTTCAAGTATTTAAATTGTTGGCGATTCAGTAAAACCAGCAAAGCCAGCAAATCCAGCAAATTCAGCAAAAAATCCATCCCCCCCTCCCCCTTCTCGCCCTTCTCCCCCCTTCCCTCCACGCATCCACACATTGGATCCACTGACCATTAGTTTTGGACTCTTACCACTCCTACATATGCTAATCCACTACCTATGCATATACATACACGTCGTGTACCTGCAGTTTACTGCTACTGTTACTTCTCCTTTATTGTTGTTGTCTAGCCAAACTTTTCTTAGGTCATATTCTCCCCCTCCTTTCCTCTTTCCAGAGATTCTAACTAACCCCTCTGTTGTGTCTGCAGGTCCTATGATGTCGTCCGGTCCTCATCATCAAGTTCCCCTGACTCAGGCGCAAATCGCCCAGCAGCAACAGGCCGCCGCCATTCAGGTCGAGATGGCTAAGCGGCGCAGCCGCAAGCCAACCGATAAGAACCTTCCTGATAACATCGACGACTGTGCCGTCGGTGATATGGCGGTGAGATATCGAGAGCTTAGGGATTTCGAGAGAAGACTCGATGCAACTATGACGAGAAAACGCCTCGATATTGTCGATTCGGTAAATCGAAGCGTCAAGGTACGTGTCACATGTCTCGGCCAATATCAGATCTTATACCGACTAAACATTGCGTAGCGCTGGAAGACGCTTCGGATCTGGATTACCAACACCGCAGAAGATCAAGTCTGGCAAGGGAATGGTCTTGTCGATACCTTTGATTTCAGTTCTAATCTAGAGCCCACTTATCGCATTAAGATTGAAGGACGATTGTTGGATGACGACGATGATCTCGACAAGGATGATGATAGTGAAGATAACACGGGTGAATCCGACGACGCCGACCGCATGGAGGAAGACACGAAACCGAAGGCGAAGTCTCCGAAATATAGGTTCTCTCATTTCTTCAAGGCCTTGAGCGTAGATTTTCCTAGCAATCGGAAGGGCATCGACCAGGTTGTCGAATGGAAAAAGCCGGAGCGCGCTGGTCCTTCGTCGAGTCTTCCCGCTGCTGCCGATTTCGACGAACTAACCTTCAAGCGTAGCGGAGACGAGAACCTTAATATTACGATCAATCTTTATAGGCATGAGGAGCCCGAGCGGTACGCGGTTAGCCAGGAGTTAGAAGACATCGTTGACATGTCAGAAGCTACACGACAGGAAATAGTGATGGGGATTTGGGAATACATCAAGCTGATGGGGCTGCAAGAGGACGAGGAGAAGCGCAATTTCCGGTGTGATGATTTATTAAGAAAAGTGAGCAATCATTATACGAAATTATACGAAATTATACGAAATTTTATTAATATGTCCGGCTAACAAATGGCTTCAGGCTTTTGGTATCGAAACGGGGTCGATTCCTAGGCTGCACGAATACATTACACCGCATCTAAAACCTCTGCCACCGGTCAAGCTTCCCTACACCATCCGACTGGACGAAGAGTTCCACAAAGACCCACAACCGACCGTCTACGATGTTCGCGTCGCTGTAGATGATCCGTTACGCGAGAAGATGTCTTCGTTCCTTAGCAACGCTGGTTACGCCAACATGCTGAAGGAAGCTGCTTCCCTCGACGACCAGCTCGCTATCATAATCCACGCGATCCACGTGTCCAAGGCTAAGCATGCCTTCCTAACGTCTCTTAGCGAGGACCCTGCTATTTTCGTAAGGGACTGGCTGAGTTCGCAGAAGCGTGATCTCGATGTAATTATGGGAGAGTCGATGAGAGGCACTGGTGAAGATGCTACTGGAGACGAGTGGAGAAAGGGAGGCAAAGATAGTATCTGGTCTACCGTCAACGCTCGCGAAAGCGTCACGGTGATGTTGTCCAAGCAGTCTGTCTTACCGCAGCGATAGCTCCTAAGTCAACCCGCGAGGCGCTTGGGAATCAAGAGGAAGGAAGGAGATGACTACCTAAGTAATAGTCAAGGCAATGGCGTATGGCGTGCTAGTTTATGGCTTAGGATTACGAGCTAGACTGGTAACCTCTTGGTGTGTAGTAGGAGAGTCGCTCGAGGAAAAGAGGTTCTATATCCCTGTATTAGTAGAATGGGTATCGGCGAGAAAACGTCTTAGGGACTGGGTCTAAGAATCAACGTGATCAGGGGACAACCCACGGTCGCTTTGGGGGGGCTACTGTAACCTTTGATTAGGGGTCCTAGTACAGCAATTTCATAATAAACCGATATAACATCCGTTAATGAGCATTCGACTACATGCTACGTTATTGTCTTTATGCAAGACAATGATTGGCCTCGGTTTTTAATATCTTATCCCCGAGGACTTTGGCTTTAAGTCCTGGAGTTTCACCCCCTCAAGACGTTCTTTTACATCCATGATATTCCCGGGCACTCCACTCTAGTTGAGCTTGCTGCCCATATAAGGTACCTAGGTAGGTACATAGAGGACACGCCTCTTCTATTATATTCTAATGCTTGTCGTTGTTGAGAATCTATCCCAAATCAAATTGAGATATAGGAAATCAGATGTCTGCGATCTTCAAAAAGGCTAACACGGCCGTTATTACCGGCGGCGCGTCGGGAATCGGCCTTGCGCTGGCACAAAAGTGTGTCGGCTATGGCATGAGAGTCCTCGTTGCGGATTGGGACGCCGAGACTCTTGGTAAAGTTGGCGAGACACTCGGGAGCGCTGCGAGTACCATCCGTATGGACGTGAGTAAACTGGAGGACTGGAGCGGGCTTAAGGATAGGGTTACGAAGGAGTTTGGAGGTATGTTATACTTGCTACTAACAATACAACTCGTATACGTTAGGTATAATACCATAATGATACCAAGCGTACCGTACATAGGCCAGATCAACCTCCTAGCACTCAATGCCGGGGTCGGCGGCAAAACGGCCTTTGAGGGCGAGGGAGCGGATCCGGCGGCGTTCCAGAGGATTCTCAATGTCAATTTCTTCGGCGTTGTTAACGGTACCTTGACTCTGCTACCGCTTGTCAAGGAGAAAGCCACCGCCTCCTCTGACTACAAGGCTGCAATTGTTATCACGGGCTCTAAGCAGGGCATCACAAACCCACCCGGAAGCCCGGCGTACAACGCGAGCAAAGCCGCCGTCAAGTCCCTAGCCGAGCAACTGAGCTTCGACCTGCGGGCGCAATCTAACATAAGTACGCACCTACTAGTCCCCGGGTGGACTTGGACGGCACTAGCAGGCGCGGCGCCCGGACGAGAGAAGCCGGATTCCCCCTGGACGCCAGCACAGGTGGCGGATTACTTGGAGAAGAAGATGGGAGAGGGCAAGTTCTGGGTTCTATGTCCGGATAACGACGTCGACGAGGAGACGGACAGGCGACGGATGTTGTGGACGGCGGATGATGCGGTGAAGGGACGGCCGCCGCTGAGCCGTTGGCGGGATGAGTATAAGGATGAGTTTGCGGAGTGGATGGCGAGGAAATGAAGGGCTAGCAAGCACTAGTTTGCTTAAAGGGTTTGAATTACCTATAGGGGTAGGGATCATATACTACATATGAATGATGCTACTATACTGGAATTCGTAGTTAGGAGAGTGGCTGCCAAGGGGAATTATGTCCCTAGGGCCTACAGCGAAGGATGTCATATCATCGAACTTCATAATGTGTCAATATTTCAATGTTTCATTGCGATTTGTCCTTGTTTGTACTTTCGTTTGTCCGGACATAACCTAAACGCCTAACTACATGCACACAATGATTGCCAATGACGGCTGCTTGGTACGTCTACTGTTCAAGCCTGATATCTAAGAGCCCCTTGCTACCAAAGCAAAAAAAAATTTGAACCGTGGTTGAGGTTGAAGCTACTTACGGATACACACAACACCCGGGTCTGGACCGGACCCTGATTCCGTCAGTAGTACCCCTAAACCGCTAGCTGGCGGGTCGGGGGAACGGGGTTCGGGGGCATATTCCTGATCTGCTTGATGAGGAACTCGCGCTCGTCGATGAACTGCTCGTCGTCGGTGCGGTCCTCGAGGAAATGGGAGAGGAAGTTGAGGAGCTTCTCGCGGTTCATGAGCAGGATCTTCTGCACGGCGATGGACTTGTGGGGGTTGGCCACGAAGACCTTGAAGACGTGGAAGCCCTCGTACTGCACCATCTTGCGGTCGCTGCGTAGCAGGTTCATGCAAATCTTGAGGTGCTCCCCGCGGTCGACGTACGCGGTCATGACGTTGTAGTTGGATCGGTCGAGTAATATCTCACCGAGCAACTTGATCGACTGCCGTTTCGTCACGTAGCTGTTCGACTGTACTAGGATGTTATTGTACTTGTCGAAGAAGAGCTCGAAGTTTATCGAGAGGTAACGCGGCACGAGCTCTTTATGTTTCGTCAGAAGCTCCTAGAATGGCGCCTGTTAGATAATGCCTTATACTTTCTATAATTGGACATACTCTGAATGTTGTGAAGGCGTCAGCAGCAACCTCAAACGAGCTCTTATCGATCCAGTCGAAGAATCGCCAAAAGACTCCGTTGCCGCTCTGTGGCCGTTCCCTATCAATTGCCGTCACACCCTTCAAACTAGAACCGGGCTCTTCCCCATCGTCGTATAATATAATGGCAGCGGCTGCCTCATTTTTAAGAACCTCACGAAGTACAGTACCCGCGGGCGTTGCGCTCTCCTTGTGGTCGTAACCTCGACACAGCTCTAATAAGATTTGAGGTTTATTATTCACTACGTAGCTCAATGCGACTGGATCTGTCTTTGGCGACGCTGTGGGGGGTCGGAACCGAAAGACGTATGAGAATATAACTTGGGTGTCTTTTCGAGACTCGAAGGGGAGGCGGTGTAGGGTTTGAGCTAACAGAAGGAGAAGGTCCTCTTCTATCAGACCTGTAACCAGCTGGTATACTTGCTCTGGGGTACTATCTACGTCTGCGATCGAATATGTTAGTATTGTACGATAGGTCATGATTTTGCGCGGGGGATGAGGAGGCAAGTACCTGGTGTTCCTTGAAGTATGAGCTTCATCTGACTGAGCACCTTAGCAAGCTCTTCGGCCTATAGCAGGATAGTTAGTTAGCATATCGTATAATTGGAATATTATTAGGATTGGGAAGCTGGGCTTATGTACTTTGCCAGGGGCGTCGAGTTTGAGAACATGGTCTCTAGCTTGCTTGGGAAGATCCAGAGCGTTAGTCCTGGTTCTGCCCCTCGAAAATAAGAAAGACATGGTTTGTGATTAGTTATACGTATACGTATACGTATACGGGTGGGCGCATCTATATCGGGAAAGTTTAGGTAGTAATTCGAATTCGGTAAGAGGCAGTTATAAATTCTTGGATTCTTGGACGGCAGGTTGTTGTAGATGTTGTCTGCTCTCGGTCCTGGCTACATGTAGGCGTGTAGGCATGTAGGCATGTAGGCATGTAGACATGTAAGTAACCTAGACCTTGATAGGAGACGGGGCGTTTTTAGGTACGGTATTTTAGTCAACCAAGATCGTCATTGTACTCGTTCAGGCTGATTGATTCCAAGATGCCCGACGTCGTTATCCCAAAACTTGGTCTACCTTGGTGGTGAGGCCCGAATGGTGCCATGTGCCATGTGCCGCTTGCTGGTAATTGTTTATTGTAAATCCGGGGATCGGAATGTTTATTTACGGGGCGGATAACCTCAGCTGAGGCCCTAGGCTAGCGTCACTTATGTACGAAGTACCTCGGTGTGGATATCTTATCTTTATTAATCGAATAACCTTTAGTTATAAATAACTTGGTTACTCTTACTTTCATATTAGATGGCGGGGCTTTGAAGCGCAATACACGTCATTAACGTTGGGACCTATCTTCGTCTTTTTCGTCTCTACTTTGTCTTTTCTTCGTCTCTTCTTCGTCTCTACCTTAATCTCCCAAGTTGAGAAACACGAGAAACACGAGAAATACATAATTCCTAGACGAAAACCTCGATATTATTGCAATCATCACCTAGCCTGTTTTGACGCTTTCTATCTTCCCTATGAGTTCCCATGATTTTGAGCAAGGTGTAAGATGGATCATATTACTCACCAAGACACAGTCTTTCAACTTAAGAAACTCATTGACGCATTTATCTTTGTGGACCGCGTTATAGTCTCCCACGATGCATTTCCCGTATACCGTTGCCTATAAACGATCGTGAGCTTTGATATCCTGTAATACAGGATGTATATTTATTTTTAAAAAGTGTATATTACCTCGGTAGAGCACCGTGAAACCGCAGTAGCGAATTTCTGAATTGGCCGTTGACGTGCCGGCATTTTTTCTAATACACGCTGGTAAAAACTGAAGCCGAAATCTTTACAGGTTTAACCGTTTTGGCCAAGTTCGTAAAATTATGGGATTACCATTCTCTACCAAGGTGCGTCAATATTAGAATATGGAGATGTATTCATATGCAATAAGGATATAAGGTAACTGCTAGGTACATAATGTTACATAACGGGTGCCCCACTCATGCAGTCTGCCAGGTGGGGGTATGTTGGGTCCGAATATTTCGATAACGCGACGCGATGAACTTCACTTCCGTCTTTTTAATCAATCAATTCAGTTATCGCAATCAATTCCAAGTTGCCTACCTAACTTACACACCCATTGCAATCTCCCTTTTCTTTGCTGAATTATCATATTCCCTAATCAATTGTCTCCCTTTTTTTTTTTTTTTTAGTTATGCTCTTCATTTGCCGACTTACCTGCGATTAGCACTTGCATCGATCTTGTTTGTTCCTCGAAATAGTTCAAATAATTAAGCTTAAGTAAGACGATGCTCGGGCTTACGAGTATCGTGACTCTGTCGCTGCTCTATCATGGCTCTCTCACATAGTCGCCAGTCTTCGACCTCTTCCGATATTTCTGATGAATTTTCCGCCCCGGAGTCCATCCCTGAATCCATCCCTGAGTCCACATCTCACCGCTCCATGGCTCCGCCTGCCGTACCTCCTTCTCAAGTCTTAGCTATGGAACGCGATAGGTATTCTGACGAAGGTAGGGGTTTTCATTTTTAGCTACGTAGTTCCTTAATTCGCTAATTTCTTTTTAGACATACGTGTTCTATACGAGATTGTGCTCAAGGCTGAAGAGATCTTATCCGAGCTCACGCCTTCTTCTCGTCTACCAACTCATGCTTTGTTTAAAGCTTATGATGAGATTCTTCCAAGGCATAATCTCGACCCGGACGAGGACCAGCTTATCAGCAAGCTTGTGTTCCGGGTTGGAGGTGTCAAAAAGGCGATTTCGCTTAAAGAGAAGTTCAAGGTAGTCATGTCGCAGATGGAAATTACTGTTCAAATGGATGGTTCTTCAGCGTATGAGAGCGATGCTGGAGAAGTTCACATTGATCCTGCCTCCTCTGACAAATCCCTCGGTTTTACCAATGGTGATCATGCAGGCGATGATTATATTATCCTAGAGGACGACAATGATCGACATCTGCATAACGCAAACAACCACGCTGACCTCTCTGTGATCGAACAACACCTCGAAAATAGCGCAATCGCTTTTCGTAAGAAACATCAGAATAAATTCTCTGCTACGAGCGCTCTTCGGCAATGGCAGAAGAAGTCAGCATTCATTGCCAACATTTGCGATCAGTTCGATGCTGCCCGGCAGGCTGATTTAGAAGAAGATGTTGGGACAAAGTTCGAAGTTTGGAGAACTATCGCTGCTGAAGTGGACAACGTACCACCCCAATACCTGCCCCCTAATGTATATTCAAAGCGGATCGAGGGGATTGCCGTTCGGGCCCATGACATCCACGTTACTAGAACTACACTGAGATGTTGGCGGCAAAGTGCAAAAGAGGAAGGCAGTAGGGTCCGGAAGATTGAGGAGTCGTCAGACCCTTTGGAGCGTGTCGCGGCAAAGGCGCACAAATATATGATGCTATCCCGCGCCTTTGCGAATTGGTCCAACCGCTGGGAGGAAGAGTCGGAGAAAGCACAGATGGCTGCTAAGGTCTATGAAATGAGCTTGAAATCTAAAGCATTCGGTCTGCGCCAGCGTCTGGGCGACAACATTCACGAAAACGGTGCTCATGGTGTTCACCTCGATGCTTCTCCCTCTGCTAACCCTAGCAATCCCGAAAGCGCGCCTGAAATTCCTCTGGTTAGTGATAATGTCGGGTTTAATGTTGCTGTCGAGCCTTCTGGTTCGTCAAGTACTGCAGTCGAAACCCACGAGAAGGGATTTCCCGAGGCTTCTACGAGAAATGCATCTTCCAAAAACGATCCGGTCGATACAACGGATGAAATGGACGAAACTACACTCCTTGCGCGAAGGCATATTCTCCGCATGCGCTACTATGATGCCTGGGAGAAATACACAGCAGAAAATTTACAGAGAGCCAGAAATTTCCGTGCAGAACAGCAAGATGGTCACATAGCCCATGCCATTCCTATATGGCGTTCCCAAGCTGAAAAGGCTTCTCTGGAGCAGGAAACAATGCAATATAATGCGAAAAGAACCAGCTACTATAACAAGACCGTAAAAGCTCTCGACACATGGAGACAAGAGAGCCAAGAAAAAATGCATGGGCACGATGAGATACTTGAGGACTATGCCACACGAGCCAACTTCTACTATAAAGCTACCAGGATACTACCTACCTGGCAGAATGCAGCTGAACAAGCTGTCCAACAGCAAGGAGTTCTTGAGCTTTATGCAAATCGAGCTGAATATTATTATAAGGCTACAAATTCGCTTCCCCTTTGGAGAACACAGACGCAGCATATTGATCACGAGGGAAAGAAATTGGCGACCTATGCTCGGCGAGCCGATTACTATTATAAATCTCGAGGTGCCTTGTTGGCATGGCATGATATTTCCAAACAAAGGCGCAAACGGAGGTTAAAAGAGGCGCACTTGGAAACCCGTCGTATTGTGAAGAAAGGCATGGGGGAACGGTGTATTGCACAATGGCGTGAAAAGCTACAGCCGAGCTTCGAACGGCTAGAGGTGATGGATTTACTCCTAGAAGATGTCACCGCGGACCAAGAATCGAAACAACTTATGGAAGCACTCGGAACGTGGCGTGAGAAGGCACAACAGAGGGAGCAAATGGGGTTGATGAGCGATGCAATGGTCGAGGGGAAATTTTTAGAGCAGTGGAGGGATCAATCAGTATATCATCAAGAGCTGGAAGTTGAAGCTAAAGAACATTGGAAAGAGAAGACGATGTCTCGTACGCTGAAAAATTGGAACCTTAGTTCCCTCCAAGTTCAGAATCGACCACTCATAGTGGCAAACGCGCTAGAAAAGAAGGACAGGAGACTGGTGCGAAATGGGTTCGAGAACTGGTACAGCCGAACAGCAGACAAGCTTGTTCCTATCGAGCTCGAGGATGGAAGCTATAAGAGTGTGGAACAAGTGGTAGAAGATGCTCAACATCAGGCCTCACTAAACCATGCGCGGGGTTTGTTGGATAACTGGAAAGCCGCCGCGAAGGGTAAGAATGATAATATCCAGCAAGAGACATACACTCCCACCCCAGGAAGACCGCGTCTCTTCCTAGGAGGCCTGAGTCTGCGGGAGACGACAACACCATTAGCACCCGTACCGAGTCGAAATTGGCGAGCCAGCGAAACGGCAGTGAGGGGATCGGCAATCGCAGGTAGAGCCAGTCGTTCTGGTCGCGCCGCGAGGAATCTTAGGGTCTCATGGGCGCAATAATTAGGTTGGTCCAGTTGACAATATCATGGACGCTATGGGTATGGGGTTTGTCTTGCTTGAAATTATGGTGGAATCTTAGATGGAATAGGCGCAAATGGCATTTTTACATAGTGATACCCCTGGATCTGCTGGTTCGAAAGATTCAAAGATACCTGTAATAGAATATACGAACTTTTGAGCTGTATTATTGTATTGGTGTTACGTACCTAGGTACACAACTGTCTTTATTTATTTATTAGGTATGATATAATGTTATTTATAAAAGTTTAATATTCCTCTGTAAAATAGTATATTTGGAATATGTATGCCAATAGGCTTAAGAGGCATTTTTAAGGGTGAGAAGACGATGCACCAGTTACTGCATTCACCTTTTTAGATTGACTCTTCTTTATGCAATATCGATGCTAATTACGAATAGGTATACCTATTTATTTAAGTGCCTAAGACAGGGATTCGCGGCCCGTCTCACGTCATAGTGCAGCCGCAAACCGACGCGAATTACATCGACGACATTCTGACAACAGGAGAGCACCTGACCTTTTCCCATAACCCCGTTAAGGCTGCATCACGCCTGCACGCTCAAAATACATGCGCATATCTTAAGCTATCACTTACGATCCCTGCCAAATACCAAATACATAAAACGATGATCCATGCGTAGATCTGCCTTCTCTTGAACAAGAACGAATTCGGATTTCGGGAAGAAGCCCAAGCGAAACGAAACGCTTGTGTATAATCACTATCCTACCTGGCCTCACGACCCTAAATCTTTAGACATGTCCATATCGAGCCATTTGCGACGATAGTATGAAGGCAGTCCTTCCAGGTCAGCCTGAAGCCAGTCTTCAAGCTGTGTCGACAGGCTATTGGGATGACAAGCGCGTCATCGTTTATATCACCGGCAATGCCCTCGCGATTCTATCAGACCCCGAAACTATCATCCAGACCATATATGACAATGATGAGCGGAAATTGGATGCTGTATCCTTTGATGAATGCTCGGGAAAGATAGCTGCGTGTACGGACGCGACCGTGAGGATATACCGGCCTTTGAGCCATGGTGATGATGGTGGTTCGCCCAAGGTTATTCCCCCCCTGTTTTGCCAAAATAGCTATTGTGTAAACTTGGCTGATTGTATATAGTGGGCTTTACAAACGTCTTTTGAAGTCGATGGAGGTCCAACGCCCATAACTCTGTCTTGGGGAAGTGCCGAGGAGCTTCTCGTTGCGCGATCGTCTTTATGGCTCTACGATACAACGTCGACACCACCCTCTTGCCATTGGCAGCAGGAACTAGCCAGTCCTGCCAAAGCAGCGAATCTATCCTACGACTCGTCTTACATCGCGTCTATAGGATATCATGATCGCCTAGTAAAAGTGTGGCGGCGGCTGAACTTCAGTTCGGAAGAAATACAATTTGATTTTGGTTATCTTTCTCACCCGCGAGCCGTAACTAGTATACAATGGCGCAAACCATTTCACGTCGACCAGACGATCGAGAACGTGCTATACACATTTTGCGCCGATAATGTCATGCGCGTGTGGACGGGTGCAGATAGCTCCAGTCGCCAGTCGCTACTACATCACTGGGGGCAATTGGATCTAGCGGCAGCAGTGCGGGATGAGCGCGAGACAGGTAAACAAAATCCAGTATGGGCCTTCATCTTAAGCCAGCGAGATCTCGCCAACGCTACAGAAAGAGCCGTCCAAGAGAGAGGGGATGGCCAAGAAAAGGAAGATGTCGCTCTTCAATATTTGCTCT